CAGGTAGACAGATAAAGGAAAAGTCGTCATCAACCAAAATCAGTATTGCATTTTACAGTTAAGATGTTCAGCTTGGGTTGGATTACAGACATTTTGAGCTTCCCAAAATTCCTAAGCAACATGCTAATAACAAAATAGATGTAATAAGAAGTGTAGGTGAAGCCTGGTAGATTTTTTTCAAAAGAAAACCCAGCATGACAAATTATCACTTGTGTCCAAAGGTTTGTAAAAACAAATGATGTGCCCCTAAACCTTCCATTTATTTTCAGCTTCACTGAATTGAGGAGGGTCCCAGCCCTTTAGTGCCAGACCCATGGCATGTTTGTTTCCTTTGGTTTTTCCTCAGGATTTGCACGGTCAGTCTTGTGAGGAAATAGCACAGGAAGAGTCAGAATACATGAATCAACAGTTTTGTGAGTGCTGATGAAGAGGTTACGATTTGCATCATACTCAAAGACTGTTTTACAAGCAAGGCAGAGTTGCACAAGGTTTCATGGAAATGCCACATCTTGTCAAGCAAGCAATTTGCTTATGCTCATCACGACAAGCTGCCTAATCAATATTAGCCATAGAAAAGAACATCTTATCTACTGGTGGAGGCATAAAACTTATGATGCAGACTGATAAACTGAGAAAGAAGCAAAAGGATGCAGTCACAACAGTACTGGGTGCAGATGAATAATGGAATTGGAGCATATTGGTCACTAACTCATATCCATGTCAACAGCATCTCTCGAATTTTATCAAAGCTTCTTGGGAAAATCTGTCTTTTTTTTTTTATCCACCTGAAGTTTTTCTTTTATTTCCACAGCCATACAATACCACTTTTTTTTTTTTTTTTGGGGCCTTCAAGTCAGTGTGACACCTGGGGACTGCCTGGACACCTCCCTGCATTATTCTTGGCAAGTATTGGTCACTAACTCATATCCATGTCAACAGCATCTCTCGAATTTTATCAAAGGTTTTTGGGAAAATTTTTTTTTTTTTTTTATCCCCCTGAAGTTTTTCTTTTATTTCCACAGCTATACAATACCACTTTTTTTTTTTTTTTTTTGGTGCCTTCAAGTCAGTGTGACACCTGGTGACTGCCTGGACAACTCCCTGCATTATTCTTGGCAAGATTTCGGAAGTGGCTTGCCCTTGCCACCTTCTTCTTAGTACTGAGAGAGAATAACTAGCCCAAGGTCACCCAGCTGACTTTGTGCCTAAGGCAGGATTAGAACTCATGATCTCCCAGTTTCTAGCCTGATGCCTTAGCCACTACACCAAGCTGGCTCTCATACAATAACACTAATAATATTTAATTCAGGATATTTTTCATATAATACATTTACATTTATGCATACCTCTCTCGAGTATGGCAGGAAGTAAAGGGCAGGAAAGGTCAACTTCTTATCTACTTCCTTCCATGCCTACCTGGATCCAACGCATATTACTATAAAAAAACAATTTGCTGAAATTTTGAAAGAGAGGTAGAATCACTTTAGAAGCTATACTTCTTGATTAAGGCTAAACATGGCAGGTAATAGCAAAGGATGCATTCTGAAAAACTGTATATAGTCATTATCACACATGGCAACCTTCACCAAACTAGCACTCTCCCCAGTATGTTGGGATAATTCCCAGAAATCCTAGCCATAATGGGAAGGCTAGGTGGGAAGTTATAGTCTAAACCAGTGTTTCTCAACCCTGGCCATTTAAGATTTAAAATTTAAGACTTCAACTCCCAGAATTCCCCAGCCAGCAGGAGTTGAAGTCCACATCTTAAACTCTGGTCTAAACAAATCTGGGGGACAAAAAATGACAAAAACTTAATAGCTCATATGATTTGGTCATGTCTAACTTTGGTTTCTTTTGGGAATAATATTGTAACATACATAAGTAGATATCTGGACAAATATTTTCAAGCTAAAGATGTTGTGGTGGTAAAAGAGACTCCCCCCATACACATGTAAACTGCATTCACTACCGAACCTATGAGATGCCCCCCACCCCATGCATATGAACTGCAGAAAGTTCCTTTGTAAGAAAACATCCCCAGCAAGTTGAATTGACTCTGAGAAGGAGAAGGATCAGTCCGGCATCTGTGGCCCAGTAAACCAAATTGCTTCTATTCACCAACCGTATCTCAAAGACAGAATGGCTAGCGTGCTGACTTAGTAGGAAGCGATAAATAATAATAAGGCCCCCTGGATGGGTTTATCTAAAGCAGTCCAACATCATGCAACAATTTCCACTGTATCTGCTTTTTTCTGTGTCTTGTCTCTGCAGTGTAGTAGGCAAAAGACAATAAGCTCTGGTTCTGCTTTTGATCAAGGCTGTTCAGCTTTGCTGGGAGCCCAGTACATACTGTATGCATGTTAATACAATTATGTTGTATCTTCAGAGTGATTTGGTTGCTTTAGGTGGCTGCTTTCTTACTGTGTGGAACTTATACATCGAGATGGGCGATGTATACATTTGATAAATAAATAAATAAATAAAAATAAGCCAGGTTTTGGCCACAACAATGTCACTGTTATTTTGAATTATATTCTAAAGTCATGGAATCTGAACATTTTTGAGGAACATTATATCAGGTGTAGGAAATAGCCAAGAGGATTATATTGAAAGACTGAAAAAGAACTATTACCATGGATATCAAAGACTGGATTTTAAAAATGTGTAACTTATCAATTTTTGAAAAGGCTATTTTTGTCTACTAATCAGTAATTGACACAGTACATATGACCTTTGGCATAGACTTCATATTTTGCATAAATATTTATGCATAATTTGATACATTGCTACAACATGATTAAATGAATTTGAGACATATGTAGGTGATTTAGTATATTAATTTTGGGGGGTTTTGTTTTGTTTTCCTTTTGTTTGTTTTGGTATTAAAACTTAATAACTTAGTTTGTTGGACATGTGTATATTACTCTCTTTTAATTTATTTTTGTATATTGCTTTCTCTATATTCCTCATTTAAAATTACAATAAAATTATACTTTAAAAGCTTATGTACAAATATAATAAATAACTCCCAGCTGGTAGAAAAAGGACCAAAATGTGGTATATGTTTAAAGTGCCTGGGGGAAAAAAAAAGAAAACTGAAATGTGGTATTTGTTTAAAATACTGACCTGAGTAATTGTTTAGAACATCAGAGGAGATTCTGCTGTGTATGCTTACAATTATTATTATTATTTGCAAAACAATCAAAGCCATATAGAAGGGGCTAGCATTGTATATTTCCCCAAATTACTGTGTGGAACAAGCAAAGGGGTTTTTCTCATTCCATAACTGAGAAGGCAGACCACTAACTTCTCTTGTTAGACTGCAGAGAACTTGCTTGGTTCATTGTAGTCTGGCTTATTCTCAGTATACTGAGGTGGGCAGAAGAAAAAGAAATCACATGGCCCACTTTGAAGCAGTAAAGAATAGAACCACAAGGAAGTGTCCTTAAAATCTATATAATCTTACCTTTACCTTTATATGGGATGGGCCCTTATACCTTAATCACCCAAGTATTATGCTGTAATAGGCCAAAGATTGCTGTTACAAAATATTACTTAGCTTTATCATTATTTCAGGAAATAAATAAATAATTTGAAGTCCAAATAGAGGGGATTTTAAGAGAAAGTTAAATACAGTATTTGATTGAATTCGGTAAGGTTTTTTGTTGGCGTTCTTGTTGTTACTATTTCATCTCTTCTCCACCACCCAACGTTTATGTATGTATTCATTCTAAATAATTTCTGGCCTGCTGCCTCCATCAGTTTGAGTGGCTTGCCATCAAATATTGATAATGTTGATACTTTTATGTCGCCATGAGAGGCAAAATTCAGCTGTGCCGTTCTCTGCTGTAAAGAGTTTGTTTATGCACTTCATTTTTTGTCCAAAACACAATGAAGAATTAATGTAGATTTGCTTATTTGAAGTGGTTAGCACAAACGATGAGGGGATAACGTGTGAGAAGCATTTTGCTTCAGCAGCCTCATCAGAGAACATTAAAAAATGTCCTGTGGTTTTGAGTGAGTTTAGCCTCCAGGTTTTTTTTCTCTTTGAAGAAAGAACTCCAATTGATAACAAAATCAAATGTTAATTTAGGTTTGTGGAAGAATTCATTCTCATTTTTATTTTAACACAGATGCTTGAATAAATTCTTCATAACATCATCTCACAATCTTTCATTCAATAGCTAATTATTTGATAATTGGAGATCAGAATGAGGACTAGTGGCTTGTTTTTATATTTGTGCATTCTTTACTAGAACGCTCTTCTTAACAATGGTCAGTTGTGAAGGCAATCTGTATCAAATCCTATGGTCAGGTACCATAGAGTGCAGATGCCAGAAGGGCTGTCTGGAGTCATATGACCCCTTCCAGACTCACTTTTGTGACCTGATATAAATATGATTTTCAATACTTTATTTGAAAATTTTGAGGAGAGGCAGAAAAGGGACAAAATAAATCCTATCCATTTCATCTCTTAATCCCCAACCTCGCCTTGCAAAAAAAAAAAAGGGCACGCTGTGATCTCTTGAAGTGGAACCCTTGATATGTGTGTAAAGGCTGGTGCAACCTTGATGGCACTCCTCTCATCAAGTCAATGTTCCTGCATGGGAAGGGAGGGAATTCTCCTTCCATTTGACAAGCTGGAAATATTTTCCATTTCTTTTCAAATTAGAAGACAGTATTCATGGAAGTGCAGGATTCTTGCTTCTCCTGTGCTTACAAGGTGGCTGAGATGCAGTTACAAGGTGAACATCATACCTTTCTTTGTATAATCATTCTTCCAGTGGTCAGCAACTTTCCTGGCTTCCCCCACTTCCATTTAATCTCAGAAGACACTTTGAAAGACTTTCTCATATTAGGAAAAGACAGGCAGCTGGGGTTCTTCAGAAAAACAGCCTCCAGCACTTTGCCACAATAAAATAAGCTTTAACCAGATTGCCAAAAGAAATGTAAGATAAAATTGAAAGCATCATAAGAATGAGGTAGAAAAACTGAAATAACTCTTTCAGGGGAGGAAAACATTCAGGAACTGCTAGATTTATTTCGGCATAATGTTACTCCAAACGTTATATGGATTCAAGGTGGGAAGTGTCTTAAATGCTTTGGGAGAAATTAGAATATGTTTACCATGTGCAGCTTCAAAGCACTTCCACAGTGGCTCCTCACACTGCTCCAGAAGAAGAGTCATCTAAAGAAATGTGGAGATACCCTTGATGAAGGAAAGGATGACCTCTTAAGGAAGGAAAAACAAAAACTCAGTCCTGGGAAAGTGGAAAGTATGAGAAAGAAACTTAAAATAACCCCACCTTGATTATGTTTGGTATAAGATGGGCTGAGAAAAACTGGCAGGCTTTCAAAGATTCTGTTTTATGACCCTACAACGATAAAGTAGCATTTCTATAATTCTTGTGGTGTCTGTTTCCTGACATGGTCTACCTTGAAAGGGTCACATGGACACACCTGAAAGAAGGGGTGGGCTTTTTGTGTGGTTTTGGCAAGCATCCCCCCCACCCCACCCCCATGGATGCTCTGAGCTAGGCACCTGTGTGTTTTTAGGTGGTTGTTCATATTCAGCTACAGCTGTGTAAGAGGCCTGCACAAAAACTGATCAGATGCTTCTGAAGTATCATTTCCCTCATTAGCCACATAACTTTTTATTTTCTTCTAGTGGCATAAATTGCCACTTTCATGTTCCATATTTGTCTTAACCCACCATGGCCAGATATGTCAGCAACCACTACAGTTAACTGCTACCAGCAATGACCCACAACTGCCCACTGTAGTTAGCAGAAGAAAATTGGCCTGGTTCCATTAGCAACCCATAATGTGAGACTTAGTTTACTCTGATCTCTAACTTTAGATATTCTATAGTAAACTCAGTGCTTAAATTGTTGCCCTTCTTTTATCCCAGAAAGGGCCTGAATGTCATATATAGTGTAAAAGTTACTATTTTTGCATAACGTTTATGCATATATCTACATCTGGCGTCCTATTCTGGATGTTCAAGTATTGATATTACTCAACTACAATGTAGCAGCAAGAAATCATAGTTAAAGGTGAGGAAAGTGCCTGGTTTCAAAAATGCTAACATGCAATCATGTCACATCGTAGTTTGTAAGAGTAGCAACTTTGCAGTCAAGAATTTTTTCCACCAGAGGAGCTGCTCAGATTCCTCCCCCCCGCCCCAAAACACCAGACAGATGCTTACAATACGTATTTAAAAGTTGAACAGGGCATGGGGAACAAGTCAATATCAGGTTCTGCCCCCCCCCCCCCACGTTGTGGAGTTGGGTGGAATGAGAGGATTTGATGTGATCTGATCTGATCTGATTTTATTTGCTGTTCTTGGTTCCACTGTGGATCGGGGGTAGAAAACTGACTGCCTTCCGATTGGTCAGCTGAAGGGACCACTGATTGGCTCATGGTATTCTTTCAGGTCAGCATAAGTGAAGGTAACCACAGCTGATTTCAGACTATTTTCTGAAGGTTTGGAGATTAGAATTTATGTGGCATGGAAGTACTCTGATGCTCCCAATATACCCTTATACATCTCTCACCAATATCATAATACTACCTAATTGCTCAACAAAGAACCGCTGCTAAGGTGGGAAGAGAGCCACAGGCACAATTATTCTGAAATTGTGTATAAGACCATCACAATGTACATATTCCCTGATTAAAACTAGATGGAGGGATTTTTCTAGTTCCTCTGTAACCAATGTGCATGTCCTGAAGAAGCATATGATATCATTTCATTTTAGAAAATTGGTTCATGAGTGCACACTCTTCATTAAGGATTACCAACCTGGGAGTCCCCAGTTGTTGTGGACTACAGCTCCCATAAGACTTAGCCCTCCTGGCCAATAACCTGACACTTGCAGTCTGAAATGTCTGGAAAGCATCAAGTTGAGCTTGCTCGCCCTAGATTAGAAAAGCCGATCAAGGAAGTATTTAAGGTCAAACATTTATCTTCCAGGCATAATTGTTATAAGCAACATTCCCCCCCCCCCCCCCCCCCC